ACTTGTATTTGGGATTGTCCCTACGCCAAGTCCTGTTGAAGTGAACAGGGTGAGAGCAGCTACAGCAGTTGAGCCGAGCAGGGCCACATCAGGGTCTAGGACATGGTCAGTACCAAACCAGCTCCAGGGAAGGCAGCCAGAGTAAGAAGGTTGGCAGACAACTTCAGGAATGGAGTCCGAGCTGCTGCTCACGTCTTGTTTCTTTTACAGTGGCTGGTAGTTTGGTAAACGGATGTTTACACTCTATTTTAATGATTGATTCTATTTCACAAACTGCTGTAATACTCAAGGCATGATTTATACACAGCATTTCCTTTGTTTTCCCTCTGCCCTTTTAAATTGCTCATTACGCTTCAGTGGAGCTATAACCAGAATTTCTTTGGCTCCATAATCTTACTTTACTGTGGCATCCATCACCTTTCAGTAGGTCTCCCTGCTTTGAAGTGCATGCTTCAGCACAGTGTGTAAACTCATGGCTGTGAAAAAATGCCTTCTAGAGCAAGAGAAAAATTACACTTGGGGATTTGGAAGTACATTCCTGTTGTTGCTCAAAGGGATGATGCTAATGCCACATTAAAAAAAAAAAATCCTGTTGTGTTTTATTCCTTTCCAACATAATTTATACTTGAAGTCTTAAAGATCAAGCAGAAACAGTTTGAGAAATTAATTGTTCATGTTCTGCACTGCCATACTAAACAGCACTAATTGGACTGTGGGTGAGGTACTTCCCTGTTCTTATTAATAAATTATTTGTCTTTAGTGCCAGAAATGCATGGTGAGAGTTCAGCGATACAAAATCTGCACTCCAGCAGAGACGTATAATGCAGTCACAGCCACTGCCACAAACCTCAGCTTCCCAGAAACATAAGAAAGCTGGAAATGGATGACTCACCTGCTCAATATCGCTGTTTTTCCTTGATTTATATATAAATTCACCAATGGCTACAAACACCGAAAGAACAAGCCCTGCAGCAAGAACTATGAAGATGCCCCCAATATTTTCCACCCCAAGAGCACTGGCTTCCTTGCTGTCCTCCTCTGGGCAACCGTTGCCTCGCCACCACTTTTCCTTCATCATGTGCAGCTTTCCCTCCTCCTGGAGCTGGAGGATGGCGATGGTGATCTTGTCTCTGTAAGGAGACCCTGCAAGATGAGACCAAGATCCATCAGCACTGGTTGCAGCAAAGTGAACACAGGGAGGGAGCAAGCGGCTGTTATCTGAAGCAAAAGTTCTCCCTTATCACAAGGCTCATTATTCTGGCTAGAAAATGTTGGTTTCTCTTCGTCTGGAAGGGGGAAGAGGACGATGTCTGCCCTGGGGACTGGATAGCAGAAGGCTCCTTTGGTGTGGTTATTTGTTTGAGAATTCATTATTGTTTCTAGGCTCTCTTACTGAGGTTTATTTAAGCCTTGGCAGTGGGTTTTCTTGCTAAGTAATTCCTCTGTATCATGTTTGAATATTGCTTTGAGCATCCTTTGAGACTTTCTGCTTTGCATCTCTTCTATTTACTCCAACATTTGTTTATTTTTCCTACTGTATGTAAAATTGGTAGCTGCCTAAGAAAAGCCCACAGTCAATCAGATACATTCTCTTCTCATTTATACCTGCAAAAGCTCCCAACTCCAGCTACCTTACAGCTTGTAAGAACACAAGGCACCCCAGCCTTTTTTTTTTTTTCCGTGGCTTGCAACAATATTGGCACTGCAAGCTGAAAATAGCAACTATTCTCATGCTTTTTATTTTCCAGCCAACAGCTTGCTAAATGGTGTGTCTTCAGGCTCTGCAGCATTAATGGGCCTGTACAGTATCTGGCAAATAGCAGGGTCACGTTGGGCGGTTCCATCTGTTTAGGTTTGCTTCTCACGTGCTCAGCTCTGGCTCCCCACCTTCCAAAAATCTCTGTGAGCGCCTTCAGCCAGCTTGTGCTCTTGCAGAAGCACAAGTCTGTAGCCCTAAGGGGGGACACGGAAGAGGTTTGCCCCTCACCCTACTTATGGAGCAGTGCCTAGATAAAGGAAATTGCTACCAATTATCTTTTCCCATGTTGCCAGAAGCTGAAATTATCAGCAATAATAGCAGCAATCCTGTTATTAATTATAATATCCAAGTGAAAGTTGTTTTTGACATTATCATAGTATTTTCTTTATGGGGCAAGGATTTCATGAGAGAGTTTCAAGAAAGGCTGTTTGGCTCTAAAGGTATGTATGTGCCCCCAAACCCTGACATGTTGGAAATGTTTAGTGTCTGGGCTGAAATACAGGCAGTGTTGCCAGTCTTGCGTCCATGTAGCTATCTACCATCCCTCCTTTCCTCTCCTCTAGCACATTAATAAGTCTATTTTCTTAGGCTGTAATTTCACCAAAAGTCACATTTTGTTGCAAATTAAGGCAGTTGCAATTCTCATTCTGATCAAGGTAAACAAACTTTAAGGCAGAATGTGTGCCAGAATTTCAGTGATAGCATGGTGCACGTAGACGCTAATACTTGAGAAAATCTCCCTAGGCACCACTTTTGTGTCTTTATGCATCTAAATAGCCTTGGAAATTTTGCCTCACAGCTTGTTTTCTTTCTTATATTGCTGTGCAGGACAATATTAAAAATAATTGTACCATGAATACAAGCCCCCCTCCCTGCTTTCCATTTCCTTTAGCCCACAGCATTGTCTGAGGAGAGTCAGTGTGAAAAACATTGGTGTTCTTCATTTGTTGTGCCAACAATCAGCTCTTTTTCAGTGTATCTTACTGCCAGCACTAGGACATGCTGTGACCACAGATGCCAAGAGACATGTGTCAGATTATACAAAGTCCATCTGGGAAGCCAGCAATCAGCAGCCACTGCTTTGAGGTAGCCAGCTTTGAAAGGAAAATATGCCTGCTCTAGGAATAGACGATTTCTATGCATGCTATTAAAGAACCAAAAATATGCACAACAGAAAACAAAACAGAAACATCTTCAAAACTGTCTTTACACAGAAAAGTGAATTACCACTGCAAGCAGCAATGCCTCTTAGAAGAAAGACGACTTGTTTATACCTTAGGAGCTGTTTGTCACCCTGATAGCTATAGTATGTGAGATTGTAGCTGTGTTGCATTTGCATGGCAAGGTTTTGGTACCATGGCGGGGCTACAGGGGTGGCTTCTCTGAGAAGCTGCTAGAAGCTTCCCCTATGTCTGATGAGCCAATGCTAGCCAGCTCTAAGATGGATTCATTGCTGGCCAAGGCCGAGCCCATCAGTGACAGTGGTAGAGCCTCTGGGAAAAAAAACTGCTGCACAACAGCAGCCAGAGAGATGAGTGACAATATGTGAGCAGAACAACTTTGCAGACACCCTGGTCTGTGGAGAAGGAGGGGAGGAGGTGCTCCAAGTGCCAGAGCAGAGATTCCCCAGCAGCCCATGGTGCACATCATGTTGAGGCCGGCTGTGCCCTGCAGGATGGTCATGGTGAAGCAGAGAGCCACCCGCAGCCCAGGGAGGACCCCATGCTGGAGCAGGGGGTTGCCCAAAGGAGGCTGTGGCCCTGTGGGAAGCCCACACTGGAGCAGGCTTCTGGCAGGAGCTTTAGACCCATGGAGAGAGGAGCCCAGGCTGGAGCAGATTTTGTGGCAGGACTTGTGTCCCCATGGGAAGCCCACGCTGGTGCAGGCTGCTCCAGAAGGACTGCACCCTGTGGAAAGGACCCACGCTGGAGCAGTTCATGAAGAGCTGCAGCCTGTGGGAAGGACTCATGTCAGAGAAGTTCATGGAGGACTGTTTCCCATGGGAGGGACCCCATGCTGAAGCAGGGGCAGAGTGTGAGGAGTCCTCCCCCTGAGCCCCAGAGATGTGTGATGTCCCCTTGCATCACGTGGGGAGAAGAGATAGAGTGAATTTGAGTCCAGGAAGAAGGGAGGGTGAAGGGAAGGTTTGGTTAAGATTTGGTTTTAGCTGTCTTTTTTTACCTCTGATTTTGATTGGTGATAAATTAAATTAATTTTTTACCAAGGTAGGTCTGTTTTGATGGTGATGGTAATTGCTGAGTGATCCCACCCTGTCCTTGTCTTGACCCAAAAGCCTGTCCTTATATTTTCTCCCCTGCCCAGCTGAGGAGGGGAGTGATAAAGCAGCTTTGGTGGGCACCTGGCCTCCAGTCAGGGTCAGCCCACCGCAGTAGGACTCATCTATTTTCCCTTGTCAGAAAGGGCATGGCTGTTAGGTAAAGTGAAGCAGCCTGAGTCAAAACACAGGATTTGTGGGGATGTTCGCTCTTTCTCGTGATGTTTATGCTGCCAGCAGGGTTATCACAATTCATCTTGAGGGTAACAGGTACATCTATATTTCTACATGTGCTTTTAAAGTTTGTCAAGTGTGCCTGAAGTGTTGTATGGGTGATGTTTTATTGGTGAGCACTAAAACTGCACGCAAATCCTTCTCAGCACCGCTTTGAATATTCAGTATATCATTTATGGCCTCTGAGCTATTAACAACCTACTTCTCAGGCCAAGAAATGCATCCATCTACTTTCTTAGCAGTCTTCCAAGTATGTGGTAATAGCGTTTGTGTTAGAATTACTGGCATCAGCAAGAGCAGTGATACTGGAATTAATACCTGTCCTGACACCTATAATAATGTTGCTTTCTTCAACCGCATTCCTCCCAGGGTGACATTTTGCACAGGTTTTGCTTAGAGGTGCTTTTGTTACAGCAGTACTTCCAGAGTGCATTAAGTTCACCACCAACCATCACTGTAGATTTTTTGTCAGTAATGGTCTTTGCCAAGAATCTGATGAAAACTCTCCTCTTGTGACCCATTGGCTCTGTAATAAACATAAATGGAGATGTTTGCTGATATGCCTAAATGTCATTTAACCTAACTCAGCACAAAGAAGCAGGAAAACAGCCTATATCTGCAGTTTTACTTGCAGAAGTTGATCTGATAAATAAAATAGTATATTTCCTGGATTAACAGAAGAACGGTCAAAAATTCTCCTTCTTGTTTCTTTGGGAGCCAAATGGTGACTATATTCATCTCATTCACTGGAAATTTTGGAGTGAGAGGCATACTTTTGCTGCTGCAAACCCTAGCCATGTGGTTGTGCATTCTCCTGAAGGAACGAATGCAAACCAGTTAAGACTTGCTGAAACTCTGGTGTTAAGGGTCACAGACAGTCTTTTTTTTCTCCATACAGCTTCTGCAATCGATAGTCTTGAATGCTGTGAGAAAAGTAACGGGGCCTTTGGGGTCCATCTGAATAGCGGAAGGATCTCCACAGCTTATTTTTGTTATGAAATAGATCTTTAAAAAATTTAAGATGCCTGATCGCACTGAATTATTCCACAGTGCTTGGAGATATCTATTCCTCTGAATCTTGCTGGTTTTCCTTAAGAAAAAAATTAAGGCACATTTATCATACAAGAAACATCTTATAAATATATTTCACAGCTGTATTTCCAATGGATGTGCTCTCTCTGAAGATTACCATCTGTTCCAATTATTCCTTCATTGTTTTTGGTTTAAAGTGTGGCAGCTTTATAACTGCAATGAAACTCTTGCCATACATTTGTCTTTATTCGGGATTTTAGCTTTTGTGTCATTGTCCTCAGGGTAAGACGGCTGCTCTCACATAGCCAGTGGAAAAATATACTTAAAACGTTATCTATATGGCAATCTGTCTGAGGTACTCAGTTGCATAGATAATCACAGTTCAAAGTGCAGTGGTGTTTCTCCCTTATTTATATCTGGTCTACCAAGCAACCAATAGACAAAATACTTCACCTGTTATATCTGTGTAAACCGATACTGCTTTGAATAATTCCCCTGAAGACAATATAATTGCATAGCTATTACGGGAGCACGGCATGATAAATGCATGTGTGAGCAGTGTGGAGAAGTCTATTATACAGGAAAAAGATCTGGATGCCCAGTGCCAATTATTCGTAAGAACCTAGCACAAAAAAATGACACTCCTATTTCACTACAATTAGAAAATCTTGAAAAGGACACGGGATATGCTAAAAAAGGTCTACTGGAAAGAGTTCACAGAGACTGGGAGTGTAACATTCTGCTTAGCTCTGAACATGGAAATCCCTGATGCAGATGAAGAACCTCACAGTTTCTTCTCACTGTTCTTATGTGTTGCTCTGAGGTCATGACTGTTTTGATGAGAAAGGTTTCTAAATGACTAGGACATCATTCAAATGGCCTTCTAAATTTCTGAAAAGGGGATAGCTGGGCGTGCTCCACACCACATGCGCTGGAAAGCATCTTACCAATAGGAGTTCCCACGCCGTAGCCTTTTGAATCGATGAGCCCTCCTATCTGGGTGAGATTGCAGTTTCTCTGAGTCACATACTCTATGCTGGTTGACTCCATTAGCAGCGCATAGTCTGTTGTAAGCACGCGCTGGATTCCCTCATCGTTGTTCTTCACCAGCGCTGTCTGCTGCCTGCTGCTCATGAACGCCCACATCTTCTCGTATGTTGATATTTTGGATTTCTGAGGAGGGAAAATGAGGGCACAGAATTACACCAGCACCTAAACTACACTCATAAAATATTCCTCAGCCTTTTGTTGTGAACAACGCCAATAGCACATCTCGAATGAAAGAGAATCAGTAGCAGGGTTTTCCTTCCTGCAGCCTTTCTCTCTTACTGTGCTTTATGCTGAGGAATCTCTTTTTTCACTTCCTTTGCAGTGCCAGGACTTTGTTACTGGCATGACTGTGAAGTGCTTTGAGGTTTTTTGGGCTAATGCTGGTACATCGATTACAGCACATAACCCAGATAAATTAGTGCAGCTGGATACCGTTGCACTCAGAAGCAGTGCTTCTGCCTGTCAGGCCAAACGTGCTACTGCAAAAACCTGATGATGACTAAAGTACTGGCTCTTTTGTACTGAGATCACTTGCCTAGCCGTACTTCAAGGATAAAGCTTGAGAAACAAACCCAAAGTGGCTTCTAAGAAAACAACGTCTGCTTTCTGCTTTCCACTGCAATCACCCTTCTCCCAGTGAAATTAAGGGGAAGTTTGCCAGGAGGAGCATCCACTTGAATGTGTCCTCCACCAATGTCCAGCAGCACAGGGAAGAGGGGTGCCAGAAACCCCAGCCACCTCCATACAATGTTGAACATCCCACCCTCCCCACTGCTTTCCCGGTGCTGCAGAAGCCCCCGAGGGACCCAGGCACGCTGCCTCTTTTGTTGGAGAATATGGAAAGGAAAACTGACCCTGCCCAGGGTCATGCTGGAGCCTTGTGCCTGCTACCCTCCTTCTGTGCTCTCAAACAACATTGAGCACACAATGTCGTGTTTGGATTAAATATGGAGGTAGACCTACAGGCAGCTGGGCCACTAGAAACTGCCAATAGAAGTGATTTTGTCTCAAGAGGGCAAAGCCAACCATTGCTATTGCTGCAGCCTAGCACGAGCCACACACAGAGAAACTGATGTTGTAATGTAAATACGAGCCAAAGGTCCTCCACACACACTTCCACCGTTCCGGGGCAGTCTATCCTACCTTCCCTCATGGGTCCTAGATTTGGTTTGTAGCTTTCATAGCTAATTTTAGGCTCACTGTGTAGAGACCATATGTGCTTATTTAACATCAGTGTCTGTGAGAAGCTGATTTTCTGGTTCTTTGAGCTTTAAATGTTAATATGCTTTACCTGTAAATTCAATACCTGTGAATGTCACCTAAATTTCACCTAAGTTTGATGAGCTACAGGATACAACTAAACTCTGAAGATGGTTAAGTGTCTCTTTATTAGTAGAAGACATGTTTACTGCTCAGTTGGCAATATTTTTTGAAATTGATTATAACTTTATGCAGTAGATGATTGATACTGAACTTATTGGAAGGATGTAGGCCTTACTTAGGTGAGTTTGAAAGAAAGATCTTAGCTTCTTGACTTGCCAACTCACATTTTTTTCAGGATAGATCATATGCCAAATTCTGGCCTTTGAATTCATTCATATTGATTTCAGTGGGAACATGTCTGCATATCAGAAGGTAGGAGCTGGCAAGAGCTGCAACATGAGATTGAGATCTATTACCACAGAGGGCAAGAAAGCAATGGAAGATTTATGGATGTGTTGGATTCAGAGCAGGACAGCAATCTGGAGAAATATGTGCGTGTCACGATTTGTGGATGTGAAACATCTTGCCTTCAGTTGGACTTTTCCCAAATTTGGACATACACACAGATGGTGAACAGTGCCTGAGATCCTGCTGGCTCACCTGCCTAGAACCCCATCCCCTCGCTGGAGTGCTCCTTAACTGTCCAAGTCCTGTTTTCTGGGTATTTTAATTTGGTATGGCCAGACCAGGGATCTGTGTACAGGGAGAAGGCTGACTCTGAGGTTCCTTCAAGGTCAGAATTCAAATAATTCCAATTGCTTTTGTTTTCATTCCCCCACTCCCTGGCTAGCAGGCATAGTCACTGCAGAAACTTCCTTGAAAATACTGCCTTTTTAGCAATATTTTTTCTGGGGATGCTGTTACAACAGAGATACTAGTGTGAGCCATTCAAAATTAGTGGAAAAAACCAACTGTTAGTATAGGCATTATAAACAAGCCTAAATAAAATGTGATGTAAAGAGTTTTCAGAAAAGCAGTGGGAATACCTTGCTTTTCTCATATGGTTCCCAACCTGCATCCCACCCAACCCTTTTTAGCAATATTTTTTCTGGGGATGCTGTTACAACAGAGATACTAGTGTGAGCCATTCAAAATTAGTGGAAAAAACCAACTGTTAGTATAGGCATTATAAACAAGCCTAAATAAAATGTGATGTAAAGAGTTTTCAGAAAAGCAGTGGGAATACCTTGCTTTTCTCATATGGTTCCCAACCTGCATCCCACCCAACAGGTACATTGTGTCATGTCCTGCTGCTACTTGAAGCACAAAGTCTTAAACCAAAGCTTTTCAAAGTTTGCTTCATGCCAAGACCTTTTTCTGCACTTGGTGTCTTCAGAAGTCCTTTTGCCACATCTGTCTCTTACAGTCCTGAAGATCAGACCCATCTGGTCTTTGCACCTCGTGTCCTGTATGACAGGCATTCTCTTGTTCCTCTCTCCTCCATAGCAAGGAATGCATGGAGTGTCATGGTTTTGCTTTAAAAAAAATTCTGGTCTGAAGGAGTCTGCTGTTTCTCTTGGTCTTTCCTGTATTAAGTACTGGGCATAGCCCTTAGATAAATCAAATATTGCAACATAGGAAGCGCTTGAACTAATAACCTTTACTTGGTGCAACCAGCCCTGTGCTACATGCCTGCAGGACATTTTTCCTGGCATTGCAGCTGGTCATGCTGATTCCTCCTTTCCCTGTCTCCGTCCCCATCACATCAGCACACCCAGCTGGCAGGATGGTCTCCACAGCACAGGCTGCTCATCGTGAAACACACCTTTCACCCCCGTGCAGCTCCTCCAGCCCCCAAATCGCAGGGGAAAGGCTGTGGTGGGGGGTACCACTGGGCATTAGGGAGCTCCCAGAATCCATCACAGCATGGGACAGCCCAGGAAAAACTGTCCAGGCCAGATCAGGAATTCACAGCTCCCCAGAAAAGTTATTTCAAATGTCTTCTCTAGAGCTGTCATGGCAAAGGTGCTTTCTCTTAAGCTGTGCCATAATGCATGTGTAGCGCAGGGATGGGAGTAACTGCTGCGCAGAATCCCTTACTCCTGACTTCTAATTCTGAGTATCTGGTTTTACATCCTCCCAGGTCTCTCACTGGTGAATCCGTGCGTCTGCTTACTTAGCTCAAGATGAATATGCAGTGTTTTCCAGTCCAAGGGAGGCAAAGTCATGCCCTCGCAGAGCACATTCTTCCGTTTGCATACAGAAGTATCTGTCATATTTCTTGTACAGAGACCTACTCAGTGCTTTATTTTTTTTTTAAGTTTTGGACAGTGTAAAGAAATCCTGATCTTGTGAGGATCTCGAAGGGCTTCTGTAATAAAAATATTAACACCTTTCATATAACACTGTGTGTGTCTCACTGGTTTACAAGTGGGACAAATTGTATTTTTCTTGCATCTTTCACTATGCCAGCTTCGCTCTGCCAGAGAATCTCCCTCCATTCTGTACGAAAACTAGTGTCACTTTCACTTGTGTGTTTCAGACACAAGTAAGTTAGCATGTAAAGCATATAAATATTAAATTATTAATATAAGATTATACTATTATTATTACATTATAATTATTACAGTACAGTATTATTTAATATTAAATATTAAATCACCTAGTCTGAAACTTCTTTTTTTAAAATTTCCAATTTTTCAAGCCTACAAATTTTAACCTCAGGGATTAATGGTGCAAAAAATCAGTGTAAAGCTGGAAACAGCTCTAGAAATTTGAACTTCTTGTGTTGAAATTCAGAAGCTATTTCTCTGAAAAACCATAGAAGCATAGGTTTTGAAGATTTCTCTCTGATGCTGAATATGACTTCAGAATAGCAATGGCAGTGACTGTCTTTGGGAAGTGCAGAGCTCTTAGACCAAGGGGGTTTCCCCAGAGTCCTTCAGAAGGCGGCACAGCTGCTTCCTCCTGCCTTATGTTCCTGATGAGAGAACAGTACTTGCCTTACGCAATTTCCAGGAATGTCTCCAGATGGGTTTCCCAGCATATTTTAATGGAAATGTCAGCTCATGATTTCAAGAATTGACTACAACAAGGCTCTGAAAAATACTGTAGTTTGTGCATTTCTTTCAGCACAGACACATTTCTATTCAGCCACGGGAGAGCCATCGTCAGGGCAGTTCACCCTTGACAGCTCCATCAGGGATAGCCTGGCGTTAGATCTATTACATGATTCACAGATCCTCGATGATGAGGATTATTTGTTTTGAGAGATGACCAAAATACTTTAGCCAGAGTCCATTTTGTTTGTGTCTGCAAGCACTTTCCCTCACATGGAAGCAGAAGGGTTTGTGGTTGGGGCTCAGGCTGGAGCAGCAGGAGCTTGGGCTCAGCACGGGTGACTGAAGCTGCTCACACCTGCACATACGCATGGCACAAGGGTTATTTTGCCCTGTATGCCACTGCCCCACGGTGTCTCATCCTCTTCAAAGACATATTTGACTATCTATAAACACCATTCTTAGATGCTACAGTGAAAAGCATGATACCAGTTCATTCAGGGCTTAACTTCCCTGCTGAGACTACTGATGAAGCTGCTAATTAATTCTAATTGTCACAGGATTCCTGCACATATATCCTATATTTATAGCTTGTTGGCTTTTACATTGACATTTTATGAGATCAACCCAGTTTGTATGTAATTAATACTAACAGTAGAAAAAAATGAATGCAGTTATCTACAAAGCAATTAGCCACAGAAAATGATCTTTCACTTACAGATGTGTTCATGTGTGTATGTGTCTCATATAGTAATGGCCTGTGTACTACTGGCCATGGACCGTTTTATAAAAGAGAAAAACAAGCTTGTATTTGGACTGCCTGCAGTATTACTGCAGTGCAAGTGTGACCTTCAGAAGTGATCTTAGCCAAGTGGCTGGAAGAAGCTGAGATCCCACCCTGAGAAACAACCTGGAGGAGAACGTCCTCAGGTCCATGCCCTGGTTCCCTTCAGGTCCTCCCATCAAAGGCATGGGTTTGCCCCTCACATCAGCATCGGATCAGATTGTTTCTCCATATGCCTTGGGAGATAATCTCCCATCTTTAATGTTGCTAAAGGATCCTTTATGGATTTGGGAAAATGATGTATTTACCTATTATGCTAATCCTTTCAAATGTTGTGATTCCGCCTCACCATTTATCGCTGGAGGGCCATGAGTCAGTCCGACTGTACAAAACTGGCTGATGCCATCTTACCTTGAAGAAGGTCATTGTGGATCCGTCTCTAACAGCCCCATACTCTATCTTGGTTTGCTTTGCCAAATCATCTGCTGAATCAATGGGGGATTCCATCCTCTCCACGGTTAGGAAGGCAGCCAGGTTGGCAGTATAGGATGATATTATGATTAAGGTGAAAAACCACCATATTCCTCCAACTATTCTGGTAGAAAGAGCTTTGGGCATCAGCTCTGATCCTGTTACAATATCATCAAAACACACATATTAAAATGATGCTGAAAGGTGTCTTTCCTGATACCACAGGACTGTTTTTAGGTACAGAATACTTTTATGAGCTGTGGTATGAACAATAATCTCACAGATGCACAGTTAACATTTATAATGGTAACACACCAGGAAGGGGATGTATGCCATGATACATGACAAATGGAATTATCCTTGGGTCTAAGCCACATTACATCTCTGATCTAATGCTCATGGTGATATTAACCCCTTACATCCCCAGCAAGCTATACTAGTATTCTTGTGTATTTCCTGAATCCCTTTTTTCCAGTACACTGTAATCAATTTTTTAACCAGAGACCTTTAGCAGAATTCTATTCTGCTTACAAGCTACCTGGCAGAAATACCTTACAAGAGAGACCTGCCCTGTTCACCCTATCGACATACCTAAGAGGAAACAGGGCGAGCAGTACAGTTCCAGGGATCTCATTGGCCTGTGTGAACCTGAGCTCAAATCCTAGAGTACATCTAATCATAAACATGTGGTTTATATTTGAAAATTCAGAAGGTGAACGGACGTATCTTTTGGATCTACAGGGCAATGCAAAGTTTTAGACAGTGTATGTAACACTCATTACTGCTGAAAAGTTTTCAGCAGATCTGCCTGCATGTCATACTGACAAATATCAAAGTGATCTGCCATTGCCATAATCCCCCACAGAACAATACACATGGGTGAGAAGTGCACTGAAACAGCTTCTAAACAGCTCAGATAGATTAACTGTATTTAAGCCACACAGGTACTTGCATTTCTAAGCATTCTGATGCAAGTTTTCTGCTGTTTTTTCTAGAGGTGTCCCCACAGAACTTAGCTCATTATGTGGGATTCAAAGATCTGGTTCAGCAAAGCACTTAGATAGCCACTTGCATACTTTTGACTTCAAAGTTAAACCTTTGTATAATTATTTTGTTGATGAAGGATGGACTTAAGAAAGTACTTAAATGCCTGTGAATGGAAATCTCAGCACATCAAGCTTCTGATGTGAGAAACGTATTTCTATTACTGGAAAAACACGTTGACAGGTTATCTCTCCTCAGCTATTTAATGATTTCTGTAAGAAATTTAAACATGTAATGGAGAATATTTTCAGACTTTGCAATGTGACTTTTGGGGCAAAGACTGAAAGGGTAAAAACTTTCCAAACAACCAGCAAACAGATTTAACTTAGCTTTGTAAACATATAGACATGTCTATTAAAGGTCAAAGCTAAGCATAGCCCAAGGGTTTGAGTAGGCTGACAGAATTGCCAAACTGCGAGAGCAGATGCTCTGCCTGTGCGGCCCTGGTGCTGCATGGATTTCAAATTAAGCCAGCAGTCTAAAAGCAAAAACTCTCAGTGAAATATTTGGGTCCAAATGTACTCATTTCAAGAGCTGTAGATCTATCTGGGTTTATGTTTGTGGTTTGTTGTACTTTCTTGCTTTTCAGATTAATGTGGGTTTTTTTTTTTAATACAATGAATTTTTTTTTTTTTTTGTGCTGTTGCTCTCAGGAAAAGTGTGTGTTTATTTCTAAGCTGGCGTTGACCTGCAAAAGCTGGATTCTAGGAGTGCTGATTCAGGTCATCCTGAAGGTATTATTTCTTTTCAGCTGAGACAGCTATACAAATACAATTTCTACACTTGGACCCTGATGCAATACCTAGGTCTGACATATACATCCCAGTAATGCATAATAGCCAGATACCTGGCAGATGCCTTAACAAGCAAGCATGAAAAGCGCCAGCACAGCCTTACGGCAGCACAAGAAAGTAGGTAGAGAAGCCCTGTGTGCTGGGGCTTGTGGGGTGAGATGCCAAACCTCCTGTGATTTCCTCTAGCAAAAAGTTGTTTGTGAAAAAGCAGCAGAATACATTCAGTTCAATTAAGCTCAAAATGCCACAGTTCATTAATTATGCAGTGAGCTACTGTTTTGCTTTTGCAAGGTGCTGAGCACGCTCCACTCCCAGCTGAACTAAGCGGGCCCAGCACCTCTTTTGATCAATCCCGTGATTATTTCAATGTTCACCTTTTTGAGGGCCCTGATTCTGGAAAAAGCATTAATATATGCTCCATGCTCACCGGCTTCGCCCTTCACGCTCTCCTGAACCAGATACTCCTGGTCTGACCCATTGCCTGGCTGAACTGGGGGTCTGACAGATATCTTTCCTTTCTGAAAGTGGCAGTTTCTCTGAATGAACTGGATGAAATGTGCCCTGTTTGGATGCTTTCAGAGTATGCATAACACATCTGAGACTTTCAGGGGAAAAACAGGGGAAGTAACGTCTAAATAAAAACGTTGCTAGCAAGAGTCGGGGTCAGAGACAATACTTGCTGAAGTCTCTCTAGTGCCTTTTTATGGCAGACATGACAGCCAATCCTGATCCAGACTTTGCTCACGGTCTGTAGAAAAGAGAAAGTCTGATCATCACATTTTAAAATTTAAGAACAAGTGTCTTCCAATAAAGCATAACAAGCAGCTGCTGCCAACAAGAAAGAGCGAGGTAGATACAAAGTTTCACAAGCATTCACGTCATGGTCAAACTCTTCACATGTATGATGATGCACTTACAATCACACGCACCACAAGTTTGTACATGGAAACATTTGTGTGGCCTTACAAATGTTTTTTCTTTCTTTCTTTCTTTCTTTTTTCCTTCTTTCTTTTGTTTTGGTTTTAATCTTCTTGAAAGACAAGCAGAGTCTGGTTGGGGCTGACTGTCATGTACCCAAGGTAGTGGTAACGAGCAGACACTGCATCCCACAGTTTGCTGTGGATGATGGTAAACTCCAAAAAAGGCAGTACATTGAAACACAAAATCCTGGGGCACTTTCACACAGAGGGCAATCACAGTTATATACACACACCTGCCTGATACTGTAAAACCTCAGCCTGTGTTTTACGGATAAATTGGAAGGAAAATAAAACAAAAAAAGGCAAAACAGAATGGCTCTTCCTTCATTCAACCTCTTCCAAAGTAATTTCTATGGGGAAGCCCTATATCATATCAATACATCAGTGCACCAAGAAAAGCAAGTGCATCTTAGGTACAATACCAACTTTATTCTCTACCATATCTAGGAAAAAATTCTCCTCATGGTTTTTTTATACTGTTACTCATGTCTGTTAAAGAGGGAAGAATAAACTGTACCTGGATGAATGCAGAGATGGTTTTATATTCCTTACTTAAATGTTTAGGAATTTAATACCAAGGTACTTCTGGGCTTTCCTCTGGGTTGCCATTTTGGTTGTTGTCGTGGGGTGGGGTTTTTTTGTTCAGCTTTGATTCAACTTGAAATGTTTGCCAGAAAATATTTTCATTCTTTTCAGTGGACCCCAGTTTTGGTGAATAGTGATTTAACTGGAAACCTTAGGATATACACGCCATAAACAAATGTGTTTAGTACACATATCTGTTTGACTTCCCATATGGAGTAAGCTTCACTGCCCTTCCTTGTCAACTGAGAAAAATGACAGCTGTTTCCAAACTCATCAGCAACAGGGACTTGTGACTGGGTTAAGTTAATGCTTCTAGGGTTGGATGCATTTACAGAAGGATGGGACTCATACCTGCAGAAAAGCCATAAAAAAGAAGGTTTTGTTTTGGTTTTAAGCAAAGTGATTGACAAGTGCCTAGAAACTTAACTCCGAAGAAAGAGCATCCTTTTTTGTTTGGCAGTTAAAACAGTGTTTCTAGGGTAGCCAAGGCAGTTACTGTTTCCATTGGGATGGAGCCCAACATTTGCCTGTTGCCAAACCTCATATACCAATAAACTCAACTTCAGCATGGAGCACTCCATATCCCCCTTGTGACTGTCTTACACCGCAGCTCCAGCAACTCCCGTGTCGCCCTGTCCACCTCCCTTCCTCTCAGATGCTTCCTCTCCTTCCTCCTGAGGCAGCCCTACTCTGGCTCCTCTGCCTGCTCCTGGATGCAGTGGCGTGTTGTTCTTGTCCTTTCTTCTATTGCTCGGTTTCTGAGATCAGGTTTTACAGTATATGCTGTATTTACAGAGGGTGGAGTTTACCAGCACAGAAGCCCTTGAGCAGACTGTGGGACGTGTGCGATAACGAAGTGTAACCGGTGTACCTTGCTGCATGAGAGCTCCAACTCCAAACCAGAAACTATTTAGTAAAGTAAAATTGTTTTCCACCACATCTGAGTCTGGGTTGCACGGGTGGGGGTTATACCATTCATATGGTGTAAACCTGTGGCAGTTAACAGAAACAATCTGTAAACATCAAAATAGAGTACAGACAGCGGCAGCAAACCTGCTGAGCAACGCACAAAGTGAGGAGGTTAACGAAGGAAACGGGAAAAGGGAAACCTCAGCTGAAAGGCTGTCCACGGGACATCTCAGAGCTGCCTCGTGCAAGCTGTGGAGCAGCGCTGCAATGCCAAGAGCCACTTTCACAGTCCCGGATCTAGCTCAGGGCTACTTCCGTACTCCTCTTGGGTCAGAACCGCCAAGGGTGAGGCTGCTGCCACGTCCATGGCTTCCCTGCCCGCACCGCTGACAGACAGACGTTGGAAGGGGCCGGGGGACAACTGGAAGCCACGTAGCTGCTCCTTGGTAAAGCATTGGAAAATAATGAGAGAGTAACCAAAGGCAACCCTCATTGGCTGTCCGCAGTCGAGATGCTGGATGCTGAACATGTGCTTCCTGCATCAGATTGCCGCGGCAGCGGAAAAAGAGGCTGCCGATTCCTTGAAGGCATTTGGGACCTATTGCAGTGCCTGAAAGGGCCACAGATTCAGCATTGCAGGGAGAGAGTTATGGAGAGGATTGCCTTTAACAGAAGAGCTCTGCTCTACTCCCCACGCACCGTCCTAAGACTGCAAACTGTGCCCCTTCTGCTCTGCGCTGCTCTTGGCAGAGTAACTTTAAGGACTGTTTCTCCCCAAGGTACCTTGCCTGCTGTTGCTTCCCACTGCTGCATGGCTTGCTGCATACATTCTCATGAAGTTTATGAATATAGCTTTAATTGACAATGTCAAGCCAATACATTTTAATTACTGTTTCAACAATATAATTAAGCATTGAATTTATGCACGGTTGCAAGCAGAGTGCCTTGCTTAGCTGAAGTAATGAACTCTGATAGTAATGAACCCACTAATTGAAACAGCCTGTAGCTTAGAACGCTGTTAGCTGCACAATATTACCATTACTAGTATGATAGTATTAAAAATCATAACAAAATATGCAGCTTTCGGGTTCATTATATACCTGTTTCTGCATATACCAATTAAAAGAAAAGCAATCACCAAGTTACATGTTTCAAATTTTTAGTAGAGTAGTGGAAGCAACTGTTGTGTAGCAACAAAATTATTCCCTACTCTGTGCACATGCAGGGAAAACACATCCTTAACAGAAGACCCAGAATTAGGAAAAAGACCTATAGGTTGCCTGAGCTGCAAACTACCATAAAGGTGAAGAGGTCCCATACCGAGTATTCACCGATGGGGAATGAGAGTGTTGACACAGGACAATCAGAAGATGTACAAATAACTGCCTGACCTGGCTGGGAAGCCCAAGGCTTGGTTCTTGCACCATTTCGGACAACCACCACATACAGTAGGTTGGACACAAACGTCTCCATCACCGGAAGAGCAAAAAGGTGGATGCTAGAAAGTGGCAATGAAATTCTGGCAACAAAACTCTTTTTGCCGGACAGGAAAGATTTTTATAGCACTGAATATATATTTTAATGTGGTACTGGGGTATATATAGCTGTTTCACCTTGAAACAAAAGATGATTTTCTTCTTGTGTTTCTATTGCTGTGCTGAGCTCTAAGAAGAGGCTGGCTTACAATTCTGCTCTATTTCACTGCTCAGGCCCTCTGTTTTCCTGGCCCTTTATCCTGGTTTTCTCCCTCTTCGGAGCTTCAGCAGTAGCTATGCTGAGGTTTCTGATAAAAGTGAGATGCTCAAGGTCACGTAAGCACCTTTTTATACAGGCTCTGTGTGACATTCACCACTGGTGGTTACCTCAGCCACCTAACTCTACCATCGACATCAACGGCACACCTGATAAGACATTAGCAGTAAAGGGAAATTTTGGCAGAACACGCCTTGTTCATTCACTGTCGGTGTACTTGGGAAAAGAGCTTTATCAGTCTGTAACCCTTCACAGTGATAAAAACTTCAGTGTTTGAATTTAAAAATTAATATAACAATGTCAGGGCTACATAAGGCTCAAAGACAAATGAGAAATTATTCAGCTGCTGAAAAGTCTGAAGAAATAACAGGAAGATTATTCCTTTCTGAAAATCATTCCCGAGTATTTGTCTTCCATGAACTCATGTCAAAATACTGTTAACCATTTAATTTACTATGGCAGTGTCAAAAAGTGGATGCTTCCTGAGGTTCTTAAAATCAGTCTAACCCATATTTGCTGAAACACTTGGAAAATGTTACAGAAATCTTGGCATATTTGGAGACGTGAACAGGTCTAGATATCGACTGTAGGAATGGCTTAGCTTCTTGAAGTGAATTAAAATTTATAAAGTCTAAAGTAAATTAAGATGACATGTGAACGCAGTTTTGTGTACTTCAGCTGATGTAGTCGTGATCTAATTATGTGTTGTTTTTAGGCATCGGTTCAAAAAACTATGTCAGAAAAAAATTAAAAAATGAGAAAGTGATGTTAACTGTTTTGCTGAACTAGTGGGTTCTTTAGGTTATTATGCTCCTGCAAGTGTGGTGAAACGTTGCAGTGGTAGCCCCACTAGGAGAGAAGCTGCAGGACGGGCTCACAGCTCATTATGTATCAGTTAATCCACATGGGAAAGACCGCCTACAAATCCTTCAGCTGCAGGAAAAGCAAACACACAGACAAACGAACTTCAGTTCACAATCCAC